TCTTTTTCTTGCAAAGATGGTAGTTGGGTCTCAGCCAATTTGTTTTTTTTTTTTTTTTTTGCTTTATTGTGAAACTGAAATGAGCAGCTCAGTAAAGGAAATAAACATTCAGTTCCCAGGAGAAGAAATGCAGATGGTTGATAAATATATAAAACATCCAACAGAATGTAATAAGGAAGATACAAATTAAAAACACATGACAAACAATATGGCTCTTTAACCCATCAGGTAAGTAAGAATTAAGATTGTCAGTACAAAGTGCTGGTGAGGGCATGAAGAAATAACGTTGTACTCTTGCTAACAGTGGATTGAAACTTCCTCAAAGGAAATTTGGTAGCTCCCATTGAATTAGAAGTGGCCAAGCGCTTTCTAAGTAGTTAACTTATTGCCTACTTTTTGGGAAATACTTAACTTCTGTGTTATGTTCATAAAATAGCAGAGAGAGAAACACTTATAGTGGTATTGTTTATTACAGGAAAGAAACATGTCAAAGCTCTATCAAAGAAATGTTTAAATAAAATTATAACCAAACTAGAGAATATTTTATACCAATAAAAAGAAAGAATACATGTACTAGTAAATGAATTCATGTTAACTAAAAAAGCAAGATGCAAGGAACTCCACTTACGTAAAAATTTAGTCTGCCAAGCCTTCCCCAAATGATAAAAGCTTGGTACAAGTGATTACTACTTACACAGAAAGTCCACATGCTAGCTCCCTCCACCAAAGTCCCCAAAGTCAAGTTCTATAGTGTGTAGGGATCTAAAGGTACAGGGGAGGTCTGAAGACATTCACACCCAACACGGAACAGTGGTGGCCTTGGGGAAGGGCAGAAAGTTTAAGCGAGGGCTCTGGGAGATTGCGGTTCTAGAGAAGGACAGGCCAGCACTCTGTCCGCTTGCAATACGAAGCTGACACCGCTTCCTTGGTAATAGGACCCTTTCCAGAGTGGACTTTATAACCATCATGGCCAGGAAGGCTCCTTCTGGTTTTCTGTCTCCTCTCTTTCCTTCTGCTCTCTCTTCTCCTCTGTCCTCTGGACTCAGCCTCCACGTCCACTGGAAACCCAGTCACTTTGCAGGCCACATCAAGGCGTTCCAGCCCACATTCCCAACAAAGGTCCCAACCACTCAGCAGACTCGTGAGTGAGAAGCCTCCAATAATTCCAGCTTCCAGCCTTTGAGCCCCTCAGTCTTCCAAAGGGGCCCCAGACGCCTTAGAACAGAGACCAGCCGTCCTGTCTGAATGCTTGACTCACAGAAACTAAGAGAATAGTAAAAACTTCTTTTACACAATCGTTTTTGGGGCTGTTTGTTGTGTAGCCATAGTAATTCAACAGACTTAGATTCACCCTGAATCTAAACATGTTCTGGTGTGTCTACACTGCAGTGCACTCACCATCCTGGCCCAGCTGGGCATAGTGCTTCCCAGGACAACTGGAAAGGGAGGCTCCCACCACCCACCCCCATCAGCCACCTGCTTACTTGTTCATGTACAGAAATTTCAGAAACTGCTTTGTCACTGTACATTTACCAACATATGATGTCTTTAGCCTTATAATTTCTAGACAAGACACCATTTTCCAAAGCTACTTGGGTCAGCTCCTCTCCCCTCCCCCCACAGTCTCTTGACATATGTTTATTCTAGTCCTCAAAGATCCTTCCAAGTAGGCCCTATTTGCTCTTCATTGCAGAGGGGAGGTTGAGGCGAGAGGGCTCGTGAGACTGGCCTGGAGGATGGGGTGGGATGCTCGCCTCTCAAGGCAGGAGGCAGGCTGCCTTCTCTCTGCTAGGCTGCCCTAACGCTGTCTCCCTTGGGCTGCTTCCCAGAGGCGTTTCCATGCCAAGCCTCACCAAAGGTGTACAATTGTGTTTTACCCTCACGTGGCCTCTGGGCCACTTTAGGCCACGGAAAGGCTCTTTTTCTCCACCCCATTCTCTTGTTACACACAGATATTTAGCTGAGGCCACCCATATAGGACCCCCTCACCCCAGGAAGAGTGGGGTGGAGAAGAGCTAAGGTCCAGGCCTGTCCAGCCTTCTGTGTCCCAACCCCCAAAGTTTTCCAGCTGGTTCCACAGCCTTGCCAAGAACTTCCACGCTCTGTTGCTGTAGCCAGCAGGGTTGGTGTGCAAAACCCCAAAAGAACCAACACAGCACTTTCTGGGAGCTCCGACGCCTGGCCAACTCATTTCACACGTTACATGTGAGCCCGAAACCTCATCAAGAAGGCCAGGAGTATTTTCCAACCTTAACTTTTCTTCCAAAACCTCTTCTTCTCAGCCCCTGTTTTTCTCAGCTGGGAAGAGGCTAGCAGGAAACAAAGCAGCCACAGGCACGGCAGGAAGCAGAGTCGCCACCTCTGGTTTCCCTTCACTCCAAACTCCAGAGATTGGCCTGTGCCATAATCTAGGCTACAGGGAGAATCACATCATTTATCCCAGAGCCCATGAGAGTCCAGAAATAGCCCAGCCACTTGGCCAAAGAGTCTGATGTTTCCCGGGGCGGGCATTGGCTGACACGTCTGTGACTGGTCCTCTTTGTAATGTGTTTTAAATGAGCAAAACACTTGGAAAGTAGGATCCCTCCGGGCATCCCCCTCCCCACAAAGAGCTCCTCTATCGGACTGCACACCCTAGGACTCCGATGCAGCTGGACAGATACAGAGTAAGGTCCAGAGCAGAGCACCTCTTCCAGTCAAGGCCGGTCCCCAGGAATTATTAACGCCCTTGGCCTTGGGAAAAGACTGCAGAGAAAGTGCCAGAAGATATCTGAGAAGTTGATAATTAGAACAGGGATGTGTTAGCCTTTGAGTTCATTTTCTGTTGCTTCTTGTAACTATTTAAAAAGAAGTGAGTCAGTGGACCGTGTAAGGAAAAACTCAGCCACAGAGAAATATAATATGAAGAGCCCATCCTTGGGCTCCCCAAGCAAAAGGGGAAGGGAGTTTTGCTTTTGTTTTCCTTCAGACTTAATCACAGGCTGCTGCTTCTCCGTGGTTTGTTTGCAGCTGTCTCAGGGCTTTGACCTTAACCTCAGGGTGCCCACACAAACAGCCTGGACCTTCTCTGTCATCAGGGAGCAGGAAGGGGACACCCCA